ATGAAAGTGTGTGAAAACGCGATTCGAAGGTCGATCTCACCAAAAGAGAGCGGTTGAGCACCGTTGTACTGCAGCCGTATGGCTTTCATACGGCTTTGAGACTAATACAGTCCAACTGTCCTCTTCTACTGAGATCGACTTTGGAATCTTTTCTTCATACACTTTCATACGAAATGAAAGTCCCAGCAACGAGGCTATAAAGTCGGAGATGGTGTGGCCTTTTGTATGGTCGCAGTCTCCTTTCGTTTTGCAGTTGGTTGACCTTGTTTTCGCGACTTGATTATATTGCCAGAAAGACTTAGAGGAACGCACCAGCCTGGAGTCCACTGTATACAAAATCATTTCCAAGTTCGGACCGTGGACGTGGTACATTCTCAGAAGTTTGTAACAGTGAAGGTGTGATAGGAGGATATAGGAAATGTGAATATCCCAGGGCAGAAGGGGAGGTACCAAAACTGATTAGCTGGTCAAAGGACCAGCTTCACTTGTCTCCTTGACGAGTTGTTGTGTGGCGATAAGAATGACGAGACTCACTGACGATGCCGGCGAAACGTGTGGGAATGTTACCACGTTTACGGTCCGACTTTGGAAATGATCATGCATACAGTGGACTCCGGACTAGGTGTGTTGACCTAGGTCTTCCTACCAATATGACCAAGTTGCAAAATCAAGGTAAAACAACGTCAATAATATCTAAAAGTGGTTTTACCTCGTTTTTTTTCAATTTGTTCGGCCTATCAGGGCAATCTAGATGGATGCACTATGCCTGGACTCCTCTGACATGGTAGGCATGACAATCTCTTGTACTATCGTGGACTTGCTCGATTACTACAAGTTGTACTTTTTTATCAACATCAAGCTATAACTCATCAAATAGACTTTATTGCCGATTAAATGTATGTGAGTGAACCAAGTCTAAGATCTGACGTCATAATTTATCATGGATATTATGACAGCATATTCCTGATAAGGTGCCTTCATCCAGGTTGCCCTGACAACAAAGGCATGCTACATAAATGAGGTCAAACTACGCCGACACAACGACATGAGGCCGCAATACTAGTCGATATTACACCATCTTGCTTTTAACACTCTTGATTATGCAATTTCTGTTTACAATTCTCATGTACCATTCGTCGGTAGAACTAAGGAAAATCCAGTCTTATTTTCGAGACTGCCACTAGATCATCAATATTAAAAGTATTCACCCTATTTCGTTTGAGGTGATAACGAGACTGGTAGTTGGATTGTCCTACAATAGTATGATTAAATCTTAGGTTTCCACTGAATTTCGCAGTCTTGCCTCAGGGTCGAAACTGCAGTCCACTCCATCCTGTAAGAGAATAACTTTTTTGGAATCAAGGCTCTGTGAACTTCAGTGGGAACGTAAGGTCCACTTATATCATAATTGGGCAATTCAACTACTGGCCCTTTGTCGCCGTAGCGAAAGAGGATTCATACATGTTATGAAAAATCCAATCGATCTGAAGTGCTCTGTCTGCTTGACTTCGGTGATTCGCTTTTCAAGTCAGCCCCTAGACAGCTCGAATGTGGGCCTCTAGTAGGCAGCTCTCCTCAACCGATAGCTGTTTGTCCAAGCAAAGCAAACTTCTGACATCTGAAGTTGTCCCGGGCGATTCTTTCATCAGACCCTGTATCGCCACATAATGACACATTCCGGTATGATTTAAATGTTTGCAAAGAGATTGATTCAGGGGGTAGAGTTCGCTCAAAAGTCGGCGTAATCCGTCGCCAAGAGAAGTTTTCGAGACTGCTAGCAATTTTTGGATAAGAACTTAGTCAGAGTCGCATAAGGTGATTTAGAGTCTGGTAGATGAATTTTTCCCATGATCGCATGAAACGGCTTAAAACTACCTTGAACGAATTGGAATGATTTATTGCTAAAGCGCTAATTAACATTTCCAAGGCTACTCTTACAGAAAATAAGTAACATTGCGGGATCGAAATTGAAGTTGAGTGTGGAGAAGTGCTTTCTAGAGGCAAAGTTAAGTGAAATGATCTGGTATCGTGAGCCCTCATCTCATGGTGGAAAAAAATTAACTACCCGTCTCCCATTCACGTCTTCTTATTTTCGCAATGTTGATCGCTAGACTAGCTGAATCGTGGTACAAAAAATCCTCTATTTTGACAATTTCTGACCCTAATTTCTCACAAACACTATACTCGCATTATCTGACTATCTGTCTATCTATCCATCTATATCTTTATCTATCTCTATCTTGTGAGTGAGAGGGAGGGAGATTAATTTCTCTCCCCTTGGGCTGTCGTTTGTCATTATTATATATTTATCCTTGGCCTGGGGAGGGCAGACAAGGCGAATGTCGCTTAGATTGCTGACGAATTCGACGAGTCAGTTTGTGATCTAAACGCTAGTCACATTGTGAATCAAGTTGTTCCCTTCCCAAGAACCTACAATGTCCCCCAAAGTCAGACTGGACTGGCCATTATGTAAGCTTCACTACGTTAAGTGCCAACTTATTCCCTTACTGCCGTGATAAACTAACTACTTTGCCCTGAACACTGAATAAACGCTTTTCCTCCTACTTTTACCGGCTCTTGAGCAATTCCAACGTCCACGTTAAAACGGCCATGACTGCAGACTCTTTTCCCTTCTTACCTGTCGCTAAGTCATCGTCTCCATCGCGTCCGCCACTGGCGCTAGACTCGGCATGTTCCCTCGCGCCTCCTGCGTCCCACCCGCAGGCAGTAGCCAGTTCAACTCGACTCGTCTCATCCTCCTGCATTGCTTGTCAGCCCGACTTGACACTTGAAATGTCGCCCTTGTCCGACTCACCCTCAATCGCTCCCCAAGCAACAGTCAACCAGTTGAGGCCGCCCACGAGATATTATGGAATAGGTCCGGTAGGCTGTTGTGCTGTTTGCTTTGGTCATCTTGGCCCACTCTTCCTTAGTCCGTCTCGGACGCATAGATACGCAAACCCGACTTAAAAGACCACTCAAACTGACTCAAGCGAGAGACTGTAAGTACATCCTATTATTCGTCATTCTCCTGCCACTGCTACTGATTTTGCTACTCTTAATAATAATTTTGTACAATTATATATATATATATATACATATATATATACTATAATTATAATTATAATTATAATTTATATATATATATATATATATTATAATTTTAATTATAATTATAGTCAGTGATAAGGGGACTGATATTTGAATTTTCCCACAATGGTATAAGTCGACATTACGCTTCAAGTCAATTTCATACCTCATCCTGGCAGAAGGGTAGTGCAGTTTCGACCTCGCTTCGCTTGGGTCTGATTAGCACCTCCAGAGGGACTTGAAATTTGACAATGCAGCCTGCAATCCCACTTCCACGAGTGCCTTCGAGTTGACGGGCAGATGTGAAGTTGAGGGATAACTAGGCAGTTTCCCATATCACATTATGTCGTGGGATTGTAGTTAATATTGCGATCGACTATTTTACATATATTTGGTTTATAAAGAGGCTTTAGAAACTATACACAGATCATAGATATTAGCTGAATTCATCCTATTTAGCTTATGATTTCTGGAAGTTGTATTCTCAAAAGCCTACTTATAAGCGAAAATGAATACAAATTCTTTGTGTGAAGAAAATTTGGTATTCGAGACTAATGATCTTAAAATGTCCTATGAACATACCCAAAACTTGATTCCATTAGAAGACGACAGAAGATTTCGGTTTACCAATTGCAAATTGGCTTTGATGTCACATACTGGCCGGCAGATGATGTGGCCTACGAAGGTTCGAAATACTGGTTGACTTAAATTAGAAAGTAGCTAGGTCTAAAAAACCTGAAGATGGGAAAGGGGAAAGCTGTCTGTAATAAGAAGGAATAGATTTATTTGATTAAATAAATAAATAAATATATATATATTTATGGTTCGACTCCCACTGAGAGTATTGATATGATACAGACTAGGTAGAAACTTCAGTCCACTTCAGCCGGGATAAGAAGAAAAGGAGGGCTATATGAAATTTCCACATGATTGTGGAAAGATTCAACTACCAGTCCTTCATCACCTTCAACGGAATAAGATGAATACAGCTCATGTACATCTCATTTAGCCAGGCCTTTCAAAAATGCTTCTCAACACGGCTGGATCGCTGATGTTTCATTGGCCATCTCAAAGGGATTTGAAAGCAAGCCTTGCGCGTCAACTGGCTACACGTCAGCGCTAAGCAAAACTGCCATGGATACGAGAATGCCACAGGGCAGATACCGTGGCTTGTATGTCACCCGAGCCAGGTTCGAATCCTGACGCCGGCACTGAAAGAGCTTAGGCGAGCTGGAGACAACGAGGACAGATGGGCCAAGTATGGACGTCACATGCGCACGGCTGCATGGCTTGACCATTATGTTGTGGTTCCTTTTAAGCCCGTCGCCAATCTGCATAACTTTTAGTTGCTGTTCCGACGCCTGGCAGCCTAAAGCTTTCCGGAAAAGAGAGTTTTGTAGATGATAATCCGTTGTGAGAACCCTTTTCTTCTGTCACACAGGCACATCCGATCTCCACAAACACTCCCAGCCTCTTCTGTCATAATTGCATGCAAACCGCGTTAGTCTTCTTTTTCATTTCATACTTCAGCAAGAGCAATTCCAAAGCTGGCGCCGTTGTGAATGATGCCAAAGTCTACTCAACAACCGGCAACTTGGGCAGCGACGTAAGTAATTAGTCAAGGTGGCAAAAATTATTCGAGTTCAAAGTCCTTTGACATTTGGCAAAAACGTAGATTATGTAAGATATGCGAAGAAAGGTTGGGTTTCGGATAATCTCTTGTTTCATAATTGTTGAGCTT